TGTGTATTTGGATTAGTGGGGCCACCTTTTTGGCAGAAGCTGTAATGTGTTCAATACTCTGAGCTAGCCCCTGGCAGGGTGGCATTTGTCTCCATCTCCCATCCAGGTCTCTAGGTCCCTACATGAGACCCATTACTGGAGTATATGAGCAACCAATCTGCCTGTGGGCTGGCAAAAATGTGGTAAAGCAGTAAAGTATACCAAAGAGTGGTGATATCATCTGATATGTTGCAAAACTCATATATATAATAACATGCTAATGCAATTCAAATTTTGGGGCCAAGAGGATGAACTGGAACTAATACCAAGACTGTGTTTTGAAGGACAAGAGTTCAGGCTGAGAGCCTGTTCTTGGATGCACATCTATCAAGGGAAGGAATTTGGCCCTTGGCCTTTGTGTCTACATTTCTTTGTGTTTACATTTCTGACACAAGGTAAAAATTTTGCTCTTAGGTTCTTATGGCCAACATATATAGGGTGACCATACATCCCAGTTTGGCCAGGACAGTCCTGGATTTCATAGGTGTGACAGGGGGTCCATTCTATCTATCTAGTATTGGCCTGACGCTCTGTCTGTAGCTTACCCACCCAACTTTCCTGCCTGCCATGCCTTGATGGAACAATAATTATGATGTTACTCAGGTGGGAGGCTGCCCATTTACTACCCCAACACTAGGGATCACTTTGCAGATGGTATATAGATGTTGACCTGTGCCCTATGACACCAGAGTCTGCTTACCCCCTGTCACTGCACCCCCTGGTGCTGGGGTCTGCTCACCCCCTGGCACCACACCCCCTGGCACTGGGGTCTGGTCTCCCTCCTGTCCCTGTGCCCCCTGGCACTGGGATCTGCACACAGTAGTGTGCCCCAATGAGGCCCCCTCCTCCCCAATAGTCTCAGTCCAGTCCACCAGATAAATCAACAACATAAATAAAAGCCCCTAGGTTATAACATAATATGAGTCCTACAAGTCACACTGTGGCTCTTTAAAACCCCAAACTGTTCCTTGAGTATTGCATACCTCCCAGCTCTGGGTACCTTGTAGGCTCCTGGAGCCTTATTAGCCATATCACCAATCTGGGCAGCAGTCACAGTGTTCTGGGTAGTTCTGCCATGCAGAAGCTCTCTTACCCTGGCAGCTTGCCAGAGACCTCCTCCTACCAGCCTTGGCCCTGGGGTTTATATGTGCCCAGAGGTCTATCCTCTTCCTGTCAGCTGATTGGCCTGGGTGGTTGGGCTATTAACCCCTACCTTCCTGGTGCTTGGTGTTCCTATAGGCTTGGGTCTTAAAGGGGAAGCCCTACCTCCTAATAACACGGCTAGGGTTCCCTGTTACAATAGGCCATCCCGGCATCCTAGCCAGTTAGTAAAAATGGAAACAAAAGTCCTGGATTGGCACCACCCCACCCACACTCCCTAGTTTGGCTCCTCTTGGGCAACAGCTGGAGGCATGGGGGTGGGGGACCAGCTGGGCTGGGCACTGTGCTTCCTGCCTGGGGGTTAGGGGAGTGTCCCAGATTTCCTTAAAAATAATATGGCCACCCTATCCATATAGAACCACATTTAGTTTTAATGCTTCCGTGTAACTTCAGGGTTTCTTTGCGCAAAACCCTGGTCATCAATGTTCATTGTTATACAAGTAATGACTAATAACTTGCATAATCAGAACTGAAATGGAATAAAGCAGCTGAGCTCAGGAGAAATTTCCTTTATATACTCATATTATTCAAATTTCCCAAGCAGCTGTTTAAACATCCTCAAGCTAAAATAGAAATCACAGCAGTAAGGACTTTCTTTTATTAGTCCCTTAATTACTACAGTTGAAACTATTGTTACTTCACATAGTCATATACAATAACAACACAACTAAACTGAAAATAGAGTAGATTTTTAAAAAAAATTAGTAAAAAACACTTGCAGCAAAAGAAGCAATTCATAAAGGTTAAATTCTACCACTCAGTGGTGACTACTTTGTCCAAATTTAGAGGGAAGAAGGATACCCACCACGCTAACTAAAACAAGAGATAATTCATTCTCTGTTAATATTAAAGAAGAGACAGTTTGGAGCCCATGAAGTTAAACTGATGCAGTTAAACTGAACTGGTGCAAAATAGTAAAATCCAAAACCAGTATGGAAGTTTCCCTAAAGGATGTTGACATTAGATAGACGTGACCCTGCTGTGTTTGGCATTCTAGCCCTATCTCATTGTCACTATAAAAGGTTTCATAATAAAAACAGCTAATGTGCACATGCCTGTACATACAGTGTGTGTGTTTGTGTGTGTGTGTGTGTGTGTGTGTGTGTGTGGAGGGAAGGACTAAAATCAAGGGCTGAAAATTTGAATGAACGTGTAACATCACTCTTAAATCCTCATTTAGCTGTCAAAATATGGCCTTATAAGCCTTATTCTAGCTACCCAGGCTTAAAAATATTTTGTCATTGTTGTTAAGTTTACTACCTTTAGCTTATATGGCCAGATGAGGAACCATCCATTTTATATGCTTGTAAAGCTTTGTGCACTGTTCATTAACTAACACTGATATTCTAGATTGCTGAAATGCCATCTGCCATAACCATTACCGAGTGCTGATTTAGTGTTTTGTATGGCTCAGTGAAAACTCATTCTTTGACAACCCCCAGCACATATTACCAGACACCAAGTTACCAGGGATGTGACAGGCCTTCAGTGCTATGCAACAAAGATAGTTTCAGCTACTTTTCATTATTGTAAAAATAATGTTTACATTTCTTTTGTTGAAGACTAAAACTTGCCATCCGTGCCCTTTTATGGATTTCTATAGGATTAGTCAACTGAGTAGGAAAGGAAATACAGCATGTTGTTTTACGTGATTGAAACTTTAAGGAGAATTTAGGTAAGCAGAATTTAATGGTCAGTATTAAAAACTGCTAGGGGCAGTCAGGCTCCATGCTTATCTCTCTGGGGCAAGTAATTATGTGTGTTCACCTACATTTCTCCAAGACAGCGAAGTTTCTCCTGGATAAGCAGAGCATGTCCATGCAACAGCAGCTCCTCCCTTCATTATTCAAACAACTCCAGCTTCTTTCTTCATAACACTCATTCATTACCATTACTAGTAATCATTAATAAGAGCTCTATTACAGTAGCAGCCAGAGGCACCAAAGAGGATCAGGTCTGGATCCAAAAAGTCTGAGGTGGAATCATGATCCCATCCAAGTCCGTAGGATTTTTGATAATTGATTTGAACTCTGGGTTCTGTTTACTCCCCTGCTGTGTGACTTTCACCAAGTGACTTAATCCCTGTGATTTCTTTCCCTCTCCCACCCTCCATTTATCTTTTCTCTTTGGACCTAGTTGTGTCTACAGAGCCCAATGGAGTACCAGGCAGATATAGCTGAGCTAGCTCAGGTACCGGAAGGTATGCTGCATTGGTATGGCTCTCTGCCAGGGCTGACACACCCTGTTGCTAATGCAGCTACGCTACTTCCTACACCTGAGCTAGTGCATTATGAGTTTGCTTACATGTGTCTGTGGCACTGTGCAGACATACATTAGTTTCCTTGAGGTGGAGTCTCTTTCATTACATGCTTGCTCTGTTCCTATCATAAGGGCACCCCTATCACTCTTTGCTTAAATTTGCATACCTTGTTGCCTGGATTATTATTACACCTTTTTTTCCTATGCATCCTTAATCCCCAGAGTTCTCCAGACTCCATTCCTCCTACATATATTATGAAATGCAGCCTCCTTAGCAGCCTTATGAAATGACTAAAATTGTTTTCACTTGTTTTCAGTCCCAGTTCTAAAAGGCCTCTATTTTTACAATGCCCAGTCATCTGGTAGGCTTGTTTCAGTATGCCTTATGACCCTTTTCTCATGTGCACTCCATGTCCCTGCACTCCAAGTTCCTTTCCCAATGATTTCCTGTCTATGCCTCTACACAATCAGTCCACTCTTGATTCAGAAGTCTTCTCCTCTGCAGCTTTCACCAGTGTGGCAGGCTTCCTGCTTCATTGCACCTCATCATTTCACCCTTCAGATGAAAACATCATTTCTACCTTCCTTCATTATTTCCTCCCATTAGCTATTATTTTTCTCTATTGACCTGTTTTGGAACTTTATAGTGTTTTAAGGTGTGTTTTCTAGAAAAGCTATGACGTGAATAGTTTTTGTGTTGTACAGCATACAATAATATATGTATTATTTATACCTATACATTTTAGGACAGGATCATATTCAAAGCAAGGCTTTTATAGATGCTCTCATTAATTAAATAGTAATTAGTACAGCTGTGTATGCTATGAAATGTGTGACATCTCACTGGTACCAAGGCAATTATTGCTCAATATTCATTAATATATCTGAATATTGTCTTCCCATATAATTTCAGATTCTCTTGACTCACTACTGTTTTACACAGGAAAAATATATTTGCAAAGAAGGACAATAACATTCCCCCTTCACATCCTATCTCTAGAATCCTAAATGGAATATGAAACATAAAACTCCTGTTGCTAAGAGACAGACAACACATGAAATACCAGTAAGCCTGGAACTACAGGATGTGATGAGGGGGTAATACGAAGTAGAAGAAAACAGACAATTCTATAAAAGACTTCCTAAAATTCACTACCCAGTTGAAAGCTGGACCTGGAATCTAGAGCAACATAAGCTCTTGGAAAATGACAGAGAAACATAAACAGCAGCAGTCTGATCCAAATGTTGAAGCTATTCTCCAACACCATGGTTTGGGCTTTGCCCATTACATAGAGATGACCCAGCTGCAAAATTCTGATCCAGATCCAGGTTCAGGTTCTTAATTGTGCCTTCCCAAAGTTTAAATCTGGACCTGGAGATATGATTCTGAACAAAACTCTGAGCACAGTCCCTGAAAAAAATCAAACTGAAACAAAACTGAACTACAGATAGACTGACTATCAGAATATACAGATTTCTATTACCTGCCAGTCACAACATGCAGTAGGAATGGATTTACATTTTAGCAGCCTTATACTCACATCACATCCATGCAACTACTGGAAGAATTGGGTCCAGCTGGACTTGTCTAGGTTTGGGTCCAGTTGGACTTGTCTAGGTTTCCCAGGCAATGCCTGTCTGTATGATATTGTAAGATAGTCCAAGACTAAAAGAATAGTAGTCCTCCAGTCCTTCATAACCAGCTTAATGTATGCAGCAGTACTGCAGCCTGGAGGCTGATCTTATTCAGGCTTCATGTAAGCTGAAAAAAATGATTGAAGTAAAAAGAAACCACCCTTTTCTCAGGAATTGGCAAACCCAGTTCCACTTTCATTATGAATGTTAATGAAAGTGCTCTCATCATTCTGCTCTGCAGGCCATGCTGCTATCATTATCTGTCTTTCAAAAATACATCAAAAACCTTGCAAGCAGATTTACTAAGGATTATTCTGCATTGTGAAACCATCATCATTTGAGTTTTAAACTAATTGATCTTAATCTTTATCAACAAAAGCTTACATTATTCTTCCTTGCAAAAGAAATATCTAGAATTCACAGTCAGAGTGCCTTACAAACCCTAACTGGCTATTTCGTGGTAAAAGAAAGATCATTTCTTCTTATTCAAATTCCTCCATAACCCTATTTCCTTGTCTCTCTTTAATGAGCATACACTGTCAGGCCAAGGTATTGAAATCACAATTAAAACTGATGAATAATTAATATACTCCCCACATGCCTTGCAAACACCAGCAACACTCACAATGATATTATTTTATATAACCACCCTCCTAAATTATCCTTTGGTGTCATCTTCCCTGTATTAAGAAAGTTTGTACCTAAACTGACTTTAAGGGTGCAGACAGATGTGCAGCTCCGGGCTGTAACTGAAAATACTTTGCAGGAAGCGTTCTGAGTTACAACGATCCCCTGGAACAAACAGAAGTTCATGGTTGGTTCCAGAGGGCAGGAGAATCTAGCTGCTGGCTGGGAACCTGCAATAGTCCTTCCTCAATCCCAGCCTGTCCCTGTTTCAGAACGGGAGGAGGAAAAAGGGAGGAGAGGGAGTTCATTCTAGTGATTCCCCATTGGGCACTGGAGGGTGGGGCGGGTGAATTGGAGCCCCCCCACCTCAGGGGGAGGGCTCCAATACACCTGCCTCACCCTCCAGTGATGGCTGAAACCCCCCCGAGACCAAACTCCCTCCATACCCTTTCCTCCCTCCCATTCTGAAAACATTTACAGGCTGGTAGTAGGCCTGTGTGAATATGGAAGTATTCGATTTTGATTCAGATATGGCCGATTTGGAGGACAGTGATTTGATTCAGAGATTCAGATCACTGTCCTGAATCAATTCGGTCAAATCGGCTTAGGAAGATTCGGTGCTGTTTTGGAAAGATTTGGTGATTCAGCCATAGACTATAATGAGGAATCATTGAAATACCTATAACTTTGTCATTTTTGTCAGATTTGGATGAAAACAGCAGAGATGGTAGCCTCTTCTGAGGACATGAGGCCTGCCAGCTTTCAAGGAGATAGGTGCAGGGGTTTCTGGGAAACTGCATCTCAAGCTTCTGAAAGCAAAACTTGTGACATGTATGACTGTGTGTGCATTAAGGCGCAGCGGCATGAAAACAGCAGGGATGGTAGCCTGTAACAGGGGGCCTTCTGGTGCTCAGGCAGATACAGCTCACAAAAGGGAGAGAAAGGCTGCAGGCAGAGGTATATGTGCTGTTTCTATGTCCCTACTGCAGAGCACTGTGATTGGAATGGGACTCAGGGAAGGATCAGTCACTGACCAGCTACAGATGTCAGTCTTTCCCCCCCTGCTCCTCCTCCCCCTTCGTTTCTGTTTCCCTGCAAGACTGCCTTCTGAACTGCTGAATCTCTGAATCTTTTCCCGAATCTTTTCTGAATCAATCTGGAGGGTTTTTTTGTCTCCCAATTTGATTTGGATTCGGTGATTCAGCCTGCAAATCGGGCCGAATCTTCTCTGAACCAAATTGGCGAACAAAGATTTGCATACCCCTAGCTGGCAGGCAGCACAGACAGAAGTTACAGAAGATGCTCTGATTTGAAACGTCTTCATCTGACCTGTCATGCTATGTCGGTTTAAATTTTCACCAACTGATTATTTTTGAAGCTGTCTGCAGCTGTGCACTTCTGTTTGATCACAGCTATGAACTGCTTTCTGTAGCCAGATCAGATGAAAATTGTCACTTCTGTCTGTGCCCTAAGATCCTCAACACAGACTGTTCAGCTTCAGAACCCCACCCAGACCTTGGATATGACTGACAAAATATATCCCCACTTTACAAATGGAGAAATAAGTTTATGTGCCATGACCAGAATGAGGGACTACATTACAAGAGCCAGCATGAGAATTAAGGAGGTTTAAAACTCCCACACTGAACCCAAACAAAGAGTGGGGGAGAGGAAAAACCCAAAAGTGCGAAAGGAGGAGAAAAGAAAACTAAGACATTTTCCAATTGTGGGGCAGCAGTCTCATGGCTGCTTTGCTTGAAGTTGTATGTGGTTTGCCTTGTGAAGCCATCTCACTTCCAGACCATCCCTGCTATGGTACTGGAGAACCTGAAAGCAGGAAATATATATTCTTGATTACAATCCATGAGCCCAATCCTCCTAAGCAACAGAGCTGTGGTGGTCTGATTCCACTGGGCTCACAGCACCTTTCGCCTGTGAGAGTGAACAACTCAAGTGCTGGTTAGAGTTGTGGGTAAACGGATCCAGGTTCCCACTAAGCAGTTTTTCAACCACGTTACAGAACAGTGTCTGAACTCTGCTATGGGAACTGAGTATTGGGTTCTGTTTTGTCAGCACAGCTGAGCTTGTTGAATGCATAATAGTAGCTTAGTGACGGTTGCACAATGGTTTTAAGAAAGAGTTGAATTTTATGGAAAACTTTTTTCCAAATCAAGGGGAATTTTGTGTTAGGGTAAGTAGTTGTTAGAAACACAAATGGCCTCTCTGATGTGTAAACACGCAACCTTTTGTTCAAACTTATGACTGTTCAATGTCCAATCCTCCTAAGTAACAGAGCTGTGGTGGTCTGATTCCGCTGGGCTCACAACACTTTTCACTTGTGGGAGTGAACTACTGGAGTGCTGGCTATGAACTTGAGCTTATTTTTCCCTGGTTCTTGTTTTTTTCCTCGGATAAGTTAAACATGATTAAGCAAAAAGGAAATGGTCCAAAGACAAACATTATCTAGCTAAGCAGACAGCTCCCCCTGACAGGATATAATTTGCCTTGCATATTAACTTGTTTTTGCTGCCCTCTTAATTCTGGATTCATTTAAGATATTGGTATTAGTATTCAGGTTGTCCTGAAATGATGTAGAACTAAAAGCCACTCTTTACTATAGTATTTTCCCTAGCAGAACGGAATGGATAAATGTAGTATCCCTCAGGCAGAAGGCACAAAAAAAGGGGTCCCAACAAAACAAGTGGGCAAAAAGAAATTGTGGCAAATACTTCCCAGAATATTAACATCTATGCTTTCCCAGTCAATTTTGTCCACCCTACTAGCCGCCATCTGTAATACTACTTCCCTTAATGTATTTTATCCTTCTATTGTTACTGTAAGTCTCAAAAAACATGAAAAACTAATAAAAAGCAGCTGCTATAGTAAAAAGCATTATGTGATATAGCATGTGCATGTGTGCCAGCTACAACTCTTAAGCAAGCTGGTAGTGATGCTGGGCTTCAGACCACTGTGAGACTTCATGTGAAGTTGTGATTCTTTGCCCCAAAAATGAACATTGCAGTGCTATAAACGAAGACATAATTTTCAGAATTATTGAAAAAGAAAGAGTATGCTTTAGTGTAGGTACTGTAGATAATGAACATGGCAATGAGGATGTCCAGTGTCACTAAGGCCATGTACAGACATTACTCTTTTGCTGGTATAAGTGATTGGAAACTGGCCTGTCTATGCCTGCAGCAGAACAGAAGTGGAGCACACAAAGCCAGTCTATACTCATAACAAAACAGAAGTTTGGCACACACAGA